TCTGTAGAAATAATTATTTTATGGATAAAAATAAACTAAATTGCTCTTGGAGGCCCCCTCGTGGCCGCAGTTGGTACCGCATGGTTCACCGGTAACATGAGCTGCATCCAAATGTCAAAAGCTCCAGTCAGAAGATAAATTAACAAAACAACGTCTTAAAAAAGGACATATGCTTCAGGGAGGGAGAAAAAAAAGAGGAAGAATAGAAACATAGCCAAGATAAACGTTTGTTTTAATGTTCCTTGGTAATGTAATGTAATGTAAAAGATTAGTAAAGATGCTAATAGAAAATTAGCTTGAACGGTTCAACGGTCAAACATTTATGCTAGGCTCTTTATGTTTGTGTGAAAGTGATTTTAATTTAAATGAGTCGATTCTCATGGTTGGCTCTGTATTTTTCTGAGGTATTTTGGCTTCAGAAGGCCGTGTTTGATAATAATAATTAAAACTTCTCAATGTTTGACATTGTCTAGCTAAACGTTTTTACGTCAGGTACATGGCTGCTACATGGATTAGCTGCTCTATGCTGTAGCTGGGATTTGTTGTTTGCAGCTGAGCATAGTGGTGGATTAACATTATTTTTACATCAACTTCGAAGTAGTCTGACATTCTCTCTGATTCAGGATTTCTATCTTGAATCGGAAACAGAGAAAATAATGAAAATAACTGAGTGATGATTAGATTCCAATACAGAAACAGTCATCTCAATTCTTGCAGTTGCTTCTAGTTGGTTGTTGGAGCTCTTTGTATGAGGAATGGAAGTGGGTGTATGGAGTCCATTGTTGTTTAGTTTATTTTGACATTGGATGATTGGGTCTGAATGTCTGGGTGTTCACATCAGAATGGGAACATGTGAATTTGCCTGTCAGGTTAGGTCTCTGGCTCCCCCTCTCTGTGATCACCTGTATATCAAGTTGGGTGAGAGGAGGGTGTCCCTAATAAAACTTTTTTTTTCACCTTTTCTCACCCACTTTTTTCTCCATCTCATTACAATTTAATAAAATAAATCCAAAGCTGTTTCTAATAAAGTTTCATGTAAATATATCAGACAGGAGCTGTAATGGTTCACCTATGCAAGTCTTTAGGGCTTCACCTCTGTACTCGACAAAGCTGAATGCCACACTTCCAGACAAGACCAGTTAAATGAAAAACAGAACAAAAGGACAAAATGCAAGTTAAATGTATGTATAGTGATTTATCTAGAGCAGAGGATGCCAATGTGTTTTACATGTGGATGATGGTAAGCTACATTGTAGCCACAGCTACCCGAGGACAGACTGATAGAAGCTGCTACACAATTGGTGCTATTGGACTTCAGGCAAGGCAGGATTGATGCCTCGCTCAAGGACTCAACAACTGAGCCGGATGTGGGGAGTTTGAACCGGCAACCCATCAGTTACAGGAACCACAGTGACTACACCCAGTACTGGTGGAATGCCGCCATCTACTGGGTTCAATATAAGGCAGAACATACACTACAGGAAAACTCAAAACTTTTAATCTTAAATGAAATGTTACACTTTTATTTCTTACTAAAATACATATATAAATGCACATAAACATAAAGAGACAATAATCTAACAGCTGCAGCAGAAAAGAGCAAATAATTACAGCTAATGTATGTTTTTAACTCTCTTGTAAAAGCACTTTGAATTGTCTTTGCCTGGAAGGTGCTATATAAATAAAGTTGCTTTGTCTTGTCAATCTAAAACTAGAAAAAAGCAAATAACTGAAAATAATCACATGTGCTTTGTGCAATCAATGCATGAAAATGACTTTATGGTGAATCTTGCATTTTGTTGAAAGTAAAAAAAAATTTTCATTTGAATACATTTCACTTAGGTAAAAACTGGTTGAAATAATTAGAAAAAAATGAAATCAGTTTCATTCTCATTTTACTTTATAGATAAAATTATGACAATTTTTTATTTTTTAAAGACATTTAACCATGATATCAATTCTATTTTTGATTTAAAAACTACAAAAGTAAACCTCGTTAACTCTCTATTGTACAGAATAATACAAATCAAACATGAAGATCACATTTAACAAATACAACAAATTTCAGCTTTATAGGCATCAACCCCCTCCAGTCTTTCATTCTAGTTTTTAACCAGATCTATTCTACAGTGTATCCTCAACATACACTGTAGTTGAGGATACAGTATCCTCAACATACACTGTAGTTGAGGATACAGTATCCTCAAGTATTTTATGGAAAATACTTCTATGGCTTATCTCCAGTGTGAATCATCATGTGGTTAGTTAAATTAACTTTGTGACGAAAAGCTTTTCCACAGTTCACACATGAGAACGGCTTTTCACCGGAATGAATCATCAGGTGCTGAGTTAAATTCTGTTTATGACTAAAACTTTTTCCACAGTTCACACATGAAAACGGCTTTTCACCAGTGTGAATCATCATGTGATGAGTTAAATTCTGCTTTTGAATAAAACTTTTTCCACAGTTCACACATGAAAACGGCTTTTCACCAGTGTGAATCCTCATGTGCTGAGTTAAAACCTGTTTTAGACTAAAACTTTTTCCACAGTTCACACATGAAAACGGCTTTTCACCAGTGTGAATCATCATGTGGTGAGTTAAACTAATTTTGTGACGAAAACTTTTTCCACAGGTCCCACATGAAAACGGCTTTTCACCAGTGTGTATCATCATATGGTGAGTTAAATTCTGTTTATAACTAAAGCTTTTTCCACAGGTCCCACATGAAAACGGCTTTTCACCCGTGTGATTCATCATGTGGTGAGTCAGGCTAACTTTGTGACGAAAACTTTGTCCACAGTTCACACATGAAAACGGCTTTTCACCAGTGTGAATCATCATGTGCCGAGTTAAATCCTGTTTTTGACTAAAACTTTTCCCACAGTTCACACATGAAAATGGCTTTTCACCCGTGTGAGTTCTCATGTGAGCATCAAACACAGATTTGAAAGTCAAACGCTTTTTACAAATGACACATGAGAAAGATTTTCTTCTTTTCTGATTTTGGTTCTCAGTTTCATCAGGCTCCTGGAAGATGTCTTGGTTCCCATGTGGTTCTGATTCAGTTTGGTATGTTTGCTCATCAACAGGAACCACCATGCAGATATCAGTCTCCTGTTTTAATTCAATCTGTTCTTCACCCTGACTGCAGTAAACTTCTTTCTCTTCCTCTTTTATCTGCAGGTGTTCTAGATCCTTCTGTTCTTCTTTTATCTGATGAACTTCTGGCTCTTCCTGTTCTTGTTTCACCTGCAGAGGTTCTAACTCCTCCTGGTCCAGAGTGGATCTCCTCTCCTGGTTATAAACGTTACATTGCAAGGAATCTGGAGAAGAAACCGGAGGAAAAGAGTAATTGTTAACTTTACTGAATTAAATAGGAGAAATTGTTCAAAGTTTAAGACACAAATGGAAAAAAAACACCTAAATATTCTAGAGTGTAGACAGAGATACAGTTCAGTCGACAAATCCACCCGACATTTGTAGAATTCTCAAATGAACAGATTTAAAAAAAATATTTTTTATGCATTATAAAATCATTGCTGTTAATATTAATGAGTACATTTTATTATTTCAAGATATCGCTTTATTTTGGAGGAATTATTTATTTTCATTACTTTTAAGTGTTTTAAAATTAGATTTTAGTTCACTTTATATTTTGGGGGTTTATTTACAGAGTTTATTTGTAGGTTGATATTCGTTTAGTTTTTGTTCCTTTGTCATTTGCTTTTCTAAGTTAGACAGGAAGAACTGTGGGTCCATTTCCTGTAAGTATAGGGACGGGTAAAGGACCAGCATGCACTGGTTGGGCTTGTGGGTTTTGACCAGAGCAGGAGACGAAACAATGAAAAGTAGTGATGGTGAGATGAAGCTTCATGAAGCTCTGAGGAACTCCATCCCATCATGGACTCATGAGCCGATGCACCGCGGTGCTTCATATGCTCCACTGTGACATCAAGTGGACAATATATGTAAAATAGGCAACGTGAAAACAACACGAAGCCTTACAATGAGTAAACAAGTAAAACATGTGCATAAATCAGCCATTCTCATTGTGATGTCTGCGTTCATTTACCTGCTAACAAAACATTTATCCGGGAAAAGAGCGTTTACTAAAATGATCCTCATGCAGAAAGGTGCAGACATTTAGACCTTAACCTGCATCCAAACGCTGCTGTTTCCTACCTATTCGGTGTAAGATGATCTGGGGAGTCCGGGAGAAATCAAGCAGTCTGCGCTGATCATCCATCTCTTCCTCCGACTGGACGATGATTTCTTTAAACTCTGTCAATGTTTCATTCCTGCTCGCTGATTCACTGGTTTGTGGAGATTTCAAGACTAGGCCATCAACAAAACAGACCTAGCGCCATCTTCTTCTTCTTCTTCTTCTTTGGAGTTTTATGACTGTCATTCATTCATGTCATCGCTTTACGCCACCTTGTGGCTCCTACGATCATCACATCTACAGATTTCTCATAAAGTGCCAGTTCTCTTTGCAGAACCTAAACTATTTTTCAGGTAATAGAAGAAGCTGCAGCAGAAAAGAGAAAAATACAACTAAGACAAAAGAAACACTAAATTATTGAAGACAATAATAATCAACCAAACTTTCTAAAATCAAGAAAAATAAATGTATGATTTTACAAAGTTTTAAAATGTATTTTTCATTGTACATCAGTGAAAATGTGAAATCAGTGCATAACATCAGGTTGTAGTTTTGATAAGTGTATTGCATTTTTGCAATTACTATTGCAACCTGACACATCTCATCATGGGCAACTCCATAGTGTAAGTATGTCTAGCCCCTCTCAAGGAGCCTGGTTCCAGAACAGGAACCACACATCGAGGTGAGACAGACAATTTCTAGCCAGAACCTCTCAACCTGACACATTAGCTCCAGCTCGTTCCCCACCAAAGAGGTAACATTCCACGTCCCAAGAGCCAGCTTCTGCAACTGAGGATGGCACTGCCACGGCCCACCTCCCTCAGCTGCCACCCATCACACATTGCACCCTACCCCACTGGCCCCTCTCACAGGTGGTCGGCCCATGGGAGGGGGGACCCATGTCTCCTCTTCAGACTGAGCCCAGCAGGGCTCCATGGGTAAGAGCCCGGCCACCAGGCGCTCGCCATCGTACACTCCCTCCAGGCCTTGCTCCAGAGTGGGGTCCCGGTGACCTGCGTCCAGTAGAGGGAACAAAAACACAAAATTCAAGTGAATAGTGAATGTTAAATGTATGTATAGCGATTTATCTAGTGCAGAGGATGCCAAAGTGCACCACATGTTGATGGTCGTTAGCTACATTGTAGCCACAGGTGCCCAAGGGCAGATTAAAAGAAGCTACTAAACAATCGGCGCCATCGGACTTCTGACTAACAGCAAGCAAGGCAGGTTTGGTGCCTTGTTCAAGGACTCAACAACTGAGATGCATGTGGGAGTTCAAACCAGCAGGGGTGTCAAACTCCAGTCCTTGAGGGCTGGCATCCTGCAGCTTTTAGGTCTGCCTCTGCTGCACCACACCTAAATAGCATAATTAGGTCATTTGCAAGGCTCTGGAGAACAGATCTACACAAGGAAGTAATAAAGCCATTTCATTCCAGCGTTTTGTACCTGTGACACATCTAAAAACTGCAGGACACCTAAAAATTGTTTCAACATGAAAAGAGAGTAATCTAAAAGCTGCAGCAGAAAACAGCAAATAATTCAAGCTAAAACTAGAGAAAAAAGCAAATTGGAAATAATCACATGAATGAAAATAGTTTGTGGTGGATCTTGCATTTTATTTAAAGTACTAATGCATTGTTTTTCATTTGAAAATATTTTAAGGTAAAACTGGTTAATATAATTTGTACGATTTTTTAAAAACATTCAACCATTCTGTACATCATATTGTTGATTCAAAAAATTACAAAAATAATCCCCACAAACTTTCACTATTGTACAGAATGATACAAATCAATCCCTCAAGTCCAATCTTGTGAGAATGTTCTGGAAGGGAGTCCATGTCCAGTCAAACTCTGTTAATGCATGAAATTAGTCACAATGGACCACAATGTCTCTTCATCTATCAGCATCAGTACTGGCTCTCCTCAGGGCTCTGAGCTGAGCTTTTGATCTTCACGTTGCACAAACACAACATACAGTTTGACATAAACATGTTAATACAATAACATGCAGTTTTGGATACAGAATATGCCAAAAAAAAAAAACCCATCTCTGACAGAAAATGTGTCATGGATGCACATCTCCAGGTATCCAAAGGTGAAGATCCAAATGTTCACAATTAACAAATACTACAATTTTTATCTTTATGGAAATGAAACCCCTTCAGTCTTTCATTCTAGTTTTTAACAAAATCAATTCTATAGCAACCTCAACTTAGGACATGTATGGAAAATACTTCTACAGCTTTTCACCAGTGTGAATCCTCATGTGGTGAGTTAAACTAAATTTGTGACGAAAACTTTTTCCACAGTTCCCACATGAAAAAGGCTTTTCACCAGTGTGAATCCTCATGTGCTGAGTTAATGACTGTTTTTGACTAAAACTTTTTCCACAGTTCACACATGAAAACGGCTTTTCACCAGTGTGAATCATTATGTGCTGAGTTAATGCCTTTTTTCGACTAAAACTTTTTCCACAGTTCCCACATGAAAACGGCTTTTCACCAGTGTGAATCATCATGTGCCGAGTTAAAACCTGTTTTAGACTAAAACTTTTACCACAGTTCACACATGAAAACGGCTTTTCACCAGTGTGATCATCATGTGAGTTAAACTAATTTTGTGACAAAACTTTTTCCACAGTCCCACATGAAAACGGCTTTTCACCAGTGTGATTCATCATGTGGTGAGTCAAGCTAACTTTGTGACGAAAACTTTGTCCACAGTTCACCATGAAAACGGCTTTCACCAGTGTGATCTTCATGTGCTTAGTTAAATTCTGTTACAAAACTTTTCCACACTGAAAGGCTTTCCACCAGTGTGAATCTCATGTGCTAGTTAAATTCTGATTTAAAAACAGTGAATGATTTTTGTGAATCCTCATGTGCTGAGTTAAATTCTGGTTTTGATAAAACCTCTTTCCACTAGTCACACTTAATAATTTTTTTCTTTCTTGATATTGGTTCTCAGTTTCATCAGGCTTTTCTAAGATGTCTTGATTCCCATTTGGTTCTGATTCAGTTTGGTATGTTTGCTCATCAACAGGAACCACCATGCAGGAATCAGTCTCCTGTTTTAATTCAATCTGTTCTTCACCCTGACTGCAGTAAACTTCTTTCTCTTCCACTTTTATGTGCAGGTGTTCTAGATCCTCCTGTTCTTCTTTTATCTGATGATGTTCTAGATCCTCCTGTTCTTCTTTTATCTCATGATGTTGTAGATCATTCTGCTCTTCTTTTATCTGATGATCTTCTGGCTCTTCCTGTTCCTGTTTCACCTGCAGAGGTTCTAACTCCTTCTGGTTATAAATGTGACATTGCAGGAAATCTGGACAAGAAAACAGAGGAAAAGAGAAATTGTTAACTTGATTGAAGTAAATGGAAGAAATTGTTCATCGTTTAAGACAGAAATGAAACCTGCAGGACACCGGCCCTTGAGGACTGGAGTTTGACACCTGTGACCTACAGTCTTCAGACCTGGATTAGATTATTTTAAACAAATAGCAGAACATTTAAAACCATATTTGTGATTTGTGAAACTTTGATCTGATTTGTGAAACTTCAATAAAATGCGATTTTTATCCTTTTTTTTGATCCAGCTCATATTAGATCTGCTCTAATTCCAAACCTACAACAACAACACACTTCAAACTTGGACTAGATTATTCTACTCTAATAGCAGAATATTTTACTCCATGTTTGGGATTTGTGAAACATTTACAGGATTTGTAAAACTTCCCTAAAGTTTCGATTACTGTTCATACTTGTTCCATGAGGTTTTTTCAAATTCAATTCTAATTCAAAACCACTTCATTAATCCAAACAGGAAATAAAATGCTGCGACAGACTGGCGGCCTGTCCAGGGTGTACCCAGCCTCTCGTCCGGAACGCAGCTGGAGATAGGCACCAGCACCTCCCAACCCCGATAAGGAGAAGGGTGCTCAGAAGATGGATGGATGGGAAATAAAATGTTGGTGTCACTCATTAATTCTTGAAAGAGTTATTATAGATGATGATGGCTGTTGGAAGGAAAGATGTTCTGCAGGGGTCGGTAAGGTGAAATTTCACAAATCAGAAAAAGTTTTACAAATCACAAACATGGTTTTAAATATCCTGCTATTAGATCAGAATAATCTGGTCCAGCTTTGAAGAGTCTTGGTCAGGCATGTGTAGAGGGGGGCTAAGGAGGCTTGAGCACCTTTGCTCCATGACCCCAAGTGCCCTTTAGGTCTTTTTTTTTTCTTACACTTGTACTACAATTATTATTATTATTATTATTATTATTATTACTTTGCAAGAAAAACAACACAATAAGCCCTCCGGTCACATTGTTACCTCTGACCTTTTGCCCGTGACGCACGACGCACTTGCCTCTCGCGCGGTGAGATGAGGCGACTAACTGCGGAGCTCAACGTAGCGAACGTTTTTGGTGAATTAAAAAATTATTTTGGGGGAAAAAATTGGAGTCGGCTTGCTACTTGTCAGATAACGGAAAACGTTAAATGTTATATCGTTTCTCCTTCAGCACGGAGTCGCGGTTTAAGCAGAAATGAAATATAACAAGACAGGCGGAAGAAAATATGGGGCGCTGTCTAAGTCCGCCTTTCTCTGAATATCTACTGAGCAGGAGGAGGCAGCCAGGCGAGAAAAAGCTGTTCTTATCTATCGATCCAGTACTTTGATCATACAGACATTACGCTGTTGTTGTGCTATGAGCTAGCTGCTAGCTAATGACTTTGCTATGAAAGCAAGATAACTAAAAAGGTTCCCTGTATTGTTAATGATGGCGGTCATTCTTCAGTATTACTTATGCAATAGGTAATATAAAACCTATCATCTCCATAATGGATATATGTCCGATTTTCTAATTTTCTTTGGTGAATGATGTACATTGTATTTATTCTACTGTTAGGTAAATGTATCTTGAAGGAGGATAGTACCAACAAGGACATTCATTTAGAATTAAAAATAACTCATCCTGAACTAGCATGATAGATATAATGTATGTAATAATCAAACTGCTTCTGTCCAATGAAAGCATGCCATTAATGAAGGGACAAGCATAAACTTTTATTTGCACACATCAGAAATCTTTGGTTTTGATTTCAGGCTCTGCCAAGGACATCATGTGAGAACCGCAAGCAAAACTTCGAATAGCAAGCAAAGATTTAGGACATGCGCAAATAAGTTTGTTTTGCAAATAATGTTTTTAAGTCATGAGATAAAAATTTGTGATTTCAGTTTAAACAAAAAATTAAGCTAAACATTTTTTGTTGAAAAAATGTGACAATTCAAAATGTCTTGATCACAATTTTATATTATTTAATTGAGGTTAATATTTTAATTGAATAATTGTGAAACAAATTGAACTCCATAGGAGAGGTCTCATTTTCTCTGGAATTAATATTGTTATATTATGGACTGAAAAACATATTGGTTTAAACACAAGGGTAAAGAATTGGTAGTGTGGTTTACTATAGTGTTCTGATTATAATTCTTTATGTTTTGCTTGTTTCAGTTCAAAGATGACAGGTAAAGAGAAACATCAGAAACAAAAAAGAAAGGATCTGCTAGAAGCAGCGAAAGGTAATTGATAGTTGACCATCTGGGTCAGAACCAGTACCACAGGTAAGAACAAAAAAGTAAAGGTTCTGACCATCATCAACCTGCAGTTTTTGGTAGTGAACACATTTTTAATATTACAAGGCAGCTATTATGCTTTTATTATGTTAAGAGTAGTATTTTCTCATAATGACATGCATTAATTAATGCTTTTGTTTTTTTCTGCAGTTCCACGTTAAAGTTTGATGCAGCTCTGTTTTTCTGAATGGACCGTCTTCATCTCCACTGCAAGTACAGCAACCCAAGACGATGTTGTTTGATTGTATGTCTCACAATTTTGTAATTTATCATTGTTAGTTAAACTCTGAAAGCTGTGTGACTTTGATAATATTCTGTCCTAAAATGCGATTAGATGTGCCCTTTTTTTTTTGAGCACCTGCCCCTTTAGTGGTCTCTGCACGGCCCTGGTCTAGGTTCTAGGTTTTGTAGCATTCAAATTAGAATCGATTAAAGATGCGGAAGGTAGTGAAAAATTAGGTGGAATCGCCCTTTAGCAATTTCCCAAATAGGAAACCAACTTAAGCTTCGTGTAGTTAAAGGAGGAAGAGCCAGAAAAAAAGGTAAATTTCTCTCCATAAATCAGCCATTCTCATTGTGATGTCTGCGTTCATTTACCTGCTAACAAAACATTTATCGGGAAAAGAGCGTTTACTAAAATGATCCTCATGCAGAAAGGTGCAGACATTTAGACCTTAACCTGCATCCAAACGCTGCTGTTTCCTACCTATTCGGTGTAAGATGATCTGGGGAGTCCTTGAGAAACAAACCATCAGAAAAGGTTTGTTTTGGTATGTGGCCATACAAGATGGCGCCCAGCGACGTTAACGTTAACCTTTGTGCATATGAAATATTAGATGTAGCATGAATATTTTTAGTAGATTTTAAGTTAGGTAGATTTGGATAAAGATTCAAACTAAAACAACTGCTGACTTTCTGAACTTAGATAAATCACTAAAGAGGGCCTTCAGAAAGGGAGTGTTGTACCAGCGGATAGAAAGCAGATGTTGAGGGGGTCTGCCTGTTCACAAGATGAGTCAAATTCTTTGGTGTTTGTTTAGGAGTTCAGTAAAACACTAAAACCTTTAGAAAACAATTCTTCTAGAACTATGACCAAATGTATTAAGATATTTCTTTTAAGTATTAACAGCATGTTCTGAACTAGTGAGTATTTATCCATATTAATTTGCATGCAACTTAGATTACTAAAATAGAACATGATTAGGAAACTAAAAGTTTTAGAAGTAAAATATTTCAGGTATTCTAAAAGAGTTTTTTCTAAAAGAAGATAATCCTGCAACGTTTAGATCCAAACTCACAGTTATCAGCTGACACCAGATTTCTGTGTCAGTGTGTTTATAACAGGAATCAGTTTCTGAGGTCTTGCTGAAGCATAAATTTTGGTCTGGAATGTTTAAAGGAGGAGACTGGTACGGGAAGACCCTGTTTGAGAATGACCTTTGTTCTCTCCATATATTTGCTTTTGGGTTTGAACAGGTCTCAAAGAAGGTAATAAAATTAACTTTAAACAGTCCTACAAGGGGAGGACACAACTTCAAATGCATATTTTTAAATTAAGGGAATACACCTCCTTATAAAATGTCTGTTTTGCAGCAAAAAAAAAAAAATTATTTGTTTGCAGCGTGAGAGCAATTCCCAAGAATGCATTTTTGTGTCTCCTATTGTGTTTTCCTTTCCAACTTGTTGCAGGTAATTGTATGTTTTGTTATGTGTTTGGACTTCTTGATAATCTGAGTGTAATGCTGATGTAACATTCTATATGCATTGAATTCACTGAATAAATCTCTAGATATGTCTGAAGTTTGATGTTGAATGGTTGTTCTCAGTGCTTTCCACTGTGCATGCGGAGTTCCTGGATCTGGGAGACTAGAGGAAAATTAACGAGCCAAGTAAATTTTATTCCTCCAAGTTCAACAAGATGCATCAGCAACTCTCGCGATAAGCGAGTTAGAAAACGGATGGATGGAAACCAAACACACAAATAGTGTTGCACTCACGAAACAGACTCTTCTTCAGTTTCGGCAACTTTATTTGCACATGATGTGTGTATTTGTTTTGGGGCTGCCGTTACAAAGTCCCTTCTTCCAGAGCTACAACGTTTTAACTGACTACTGACACTACTTCCACTACACAACGAAACACTGACGCAGCACAAAGCTCAGATTGTGAGAAACTCCATTTTCTCTCCATAAATCAGCCATTCTCATTGTGATGTCTGCGTTCATTTACCTGCTAACAAAACATTTATCCGGGAAAAGAGCGTTTACTAAAATGATCCTCATGCAGAAAGGTGCAGACATTTAGACCTTAACCTGCATCCAAACGCTGCTGTTTCCTACCTATTCGGTGTAAGATGATCTGGGGAGTCCGGAGAAATCAAGCAGTCTGCGCTGATCATCCATCTCTTCCTCCGACTGGACGATGATTTCTTTAAACTCTGTCAATGTTTCTTCAAACTTTTTTTCACTAAAACTCTCGAACAATCAACGAAACAGACCAGGCGCCATCTTCTGTTTCTTCTTCTTCTTTTCTATTTTGGGGGATCGCAAGAAACTTTAAGGTGCATACCGCCACCTACTGTACACGAGTGTGTATCAAAGGTATTTTACATCAGTCAGATTCTATTTTTTAATTTTGTAGATAAATAAATAATGCTTTCCTTAATATGCAAATATCCATTTTATTCCA